AAAATAGGAAATATTCTAGAGCAACAATAGCACAAAAAGTACAGTACTAAACAATAACAAGGATAGTAATACAAGAAATATTCTAGAATAAACAACATTTCCAAGATAAATGCTAGTGAAAATCTGGCAAGGGGTAGTAATGATCTTAGGCGAAAATTAAGTATAACAATATATTGTTCTATAATATTTACAAGTGATCTTTTTGGTATTTTTAAAATTAGAACTTTTTATAAAATGTTCTTATGCTTTGCTTTTAGAAATTATTGAAGTAATTGAAGTAGTTTCTGATAAATTGTTTATATCAACATTGTCATTATCATTATTATTATAGCTTATTAAACTATCACTTTTTTCATACTAGTATTATATGTTATTGGATAAGTTTTTATGTTTCATTTTTAAAAATATTTAAATTGTTGAAAAACAAGCTATATTAATTAAAGCAGTTAAATAAATATAAAGCTATAATATTAAAAAAAAACTTTTTAAAATTGTTAAAAAATTATTGAAAGGGTAAAACAAACAGATATTAAAATTTTTTAATATAATCTTTTATATATTAATTAAAAAAATCAAGTTTTTTACTTTAATTTTCTAGCTAGTTCTATTTAAATAAAATTAAATAGCTATTTAATAATTTATATAGACTAAGTCATATCTAATCTGAATCTGATTCACCAGATTTAAAATTTTAAAATTTGATTTATTTCAAATTCAATCAAATTAAAAATTTTAAAATTCGAATTGATCTGATTCATATCTGATTTGTGAATTATTCAGATTCAAATAAAAACTGTAATCCTTATTTATTAGATTTTTTTATAAATTACTATTTATTAATAAATATTTATTTTTAGGTTTTTGAAGAATTTAAGAATATTTCCAATCTTCATATTAATTATTATTTACTATTACATATACAGACCTTTGCTAATCTTATTAATATAGTATTGACATAAAAAATGATCTATCAAAATTTCAAAGGTATAACATCACAAATTAATTATAAAAATATTAAATTGGATTTAATAAAAAAATATATAATATTATTTGTTATTTAGTATTTAAGCAATACATAATTGACAGCAGACTCTTGAGTAATAGTCCATGTTTTGTTAATACTTCATGAAGTGTTGAAAGGCTATTCAATAACTGGTTTATTGCTAATAAATACTTTGATTATGATAAAGATAATGATATTAATTATAATTTAAATAAATATCTAATCAATATTGCCAATTAAATTTATTAAATTTAGTTTATTTACAAGTGAAATTTATTTCTAATATTAGCTTAAAAAATTTTTTTGTGATAAAATCTTGATAAATAGTACAATGTCAAATAAATGACTCAAAATTTAGATATAAACTATTGCTTTCTTATTATGATTTTGAAAATCACTTAGCTCTTATCAATAAAGCAATAGGTTTCTACAAGAGTATAACATATTTAGAAAAGAATGATCAGAACATTTCCAAAAAATGTTTTTTTTCGTATCTTGAAAATGTAATATCTATCAATATTAGTGAAGAAGGCAAAAATTATACAAATATTTAATTCACAAGAAATAGAAGTTGGTAATAAAGTTATCTGTTAATAATAGTTGATCAGATAAATAAAATTAATTTTATTCACAATTGTATATTCAGAAAGTACATTGATAATTATGATTTATTAAACATATATTATTTAAAAAATGATTATTTCTTAAATATGTATTATTAAAATAGTAACTACTTCACTGTTCAATCAAAATTATATTATTATTTAATTATAATAAACTTGTAAATGCATTATTGCATAATTGTAGCTTAATTACAATAAATTCATAACTATATCAAAATCTAATCTCAATAAATTCGCTATTACATTGCTACTTAATTGTGATTATATTGTTTGCCCAATTATTATAAGATGATTTCATAAATAAATCAATATATAATCAAAATAAAATCATTGTAATCTTGTAGTGATTTGGTAACAACTTAGTAAAGAATTCAAAATTTCTTAATTGCTACTTAATTGAAGAGATTTGATAGCAAAATAGTTACTGCTGCTATAGCTAAATTGGAGTAATTTTTTTACAAATACTGTGACTATTTAATGGCAGGTTTATGATAATTTGATAAAGTTTCAGTAGTGAAATGGTAAAAAAATAAGCACTTTCAATAAAGATATTTAATTTTCTTTAAAAGATAATAATGATTTATTAACTTATATTGTTCAACTTTACAAAAGCTCATTCTATTCATTTGTTAATATAATAGATATATTTAATTAAATACATTTATTAAATAGCTTTTTATAAAATATTATTTTTGACACAAATTTCATTACTACAATCAAAGCTTCTTCAATATAATATTAAATGTAAGAGGTCTCAATAAAATATCTAAGCTAATAATTCTTATATAAGATCTCACAAATAAAAAATTAATAATATACTGTTCAAATATTAAAATTTTTTTATTCAATTCTTTTCCTAAGAAGTTTAATAACAAGATTATAGTTGCAAGTATATTGTCAATTTTCTCAAAAAATAATATAGGTTTAATTATTGGTAGTGATCTTATTAACTATATTTTTGTCACATATACAGAAAATGAATATTTATATGCAATTCACTTGAAATTCAAACCTAAAATTGATTTGGTTATCATAGCCACCTACCTTTTATACAAGATAAATGAAAGAAAAAAGACAGTTAAGTTATTTGTAAAATATCTAAAGAGATTCAAAAGACCACTAATCAAATGTTGACAAGCAATTTTAATTTCTATTCCACTAATATACCAGTTATTAGCATTTCAATAACACTTATCAAAAAAAGATCTACAACTACTTAATTAATTAAATAAATATTATAAAAGTCTTAAACAAAAAAAGTAAGTTTACTCATATCCTACAAACTATTGCTTCAAAAATTGATCAAATCTGGTGTACAAATCATTTAGAAACCAAAGTCTTCAGTGCAAAAATCTCAAATTTTCTGTCAATTATCATAGATCACAAACAAGTTTAAGTAATTTTGACTGGTTCGAATACAAATTGAAGTATCCAGGCTGTTAGACCAAACTTTTCAAATAGAAACAAGCCACAAAAAAACAAAAAACAATTTTAAAAAAGAAACAGATCTTAGAATTTTTACAAATTATAAATATAGAAGATATTCAACTACAAGTTCCTTATTAAGAAGAGTCTGGATTATTAGAATAAATTTTTTCTGAAATTTATGATTTTTCTTAGATTTTAATTCTTTTTTAAGTTTATTTATATTCTGTTCTAATTTTATAACTCTAGCTCTAAGTTCAACATTTTTAGCAATAGTATCTTTCCTATTTTTTTTTCAACTCATTGATTCTGTTCTTAAGTTAAGTGTTCTTTTCTATATTCAGTTTTCTATATTTCTATGTAAAACATAGATTTATTCAAATTTCAATTTATGAGTATACAGTATATCGACATATAATCTTTTTATTATTCCGATATATATTATACACCCACATTAATGCATACACGAGTCGAAAAACAAAAACCTTAAACGCGGACAAGCTTTATTCGAAAACTTAAAGAAAATATATTCACTATATCATAAGTATATCATCTTCGATGAGAAACTTTCTGTACCCAATAGAATACATACAGTATAATCAACTGTGATGTAAGGCAATTATTTTTGCATGCGCGTTGTGTTAGGTCGTGGTGCCAATTTAAAGGCAAGTAACCATCGGGAATTGTGATGACGAGCAATACGCAAAGCACCCTAGATATCGAGTTTGAGCCCAAGTAAGTGCATTTACGCGAAAATGTTAACAGCACAATTTTTTTTTTTCATATATATTCGGATCACAAAGTGCTCACGAAGACGTAAAACCTAGGGCTTGATTGCAAAAATTTCATTCAATTTTTGGCACAACTCGATGAAGGAGACCGAATATTCCTTCGGTCAGTTTAGGTAATTCCTTCGTATCTGTTTGAAGGGGTAAATAACCATATTATTTAGAAAAAGTACTTACTGGTACTCGTATTTTTCCTTTATCTCACGATAGCTGAAAAATTCTCGATATCTACATTGGCTGTGTGGGCCGTAATTTTATTAAGTCTTAAGAGGCTGTTACAGATATCTGGAACACCAGCTTGATGTTTCGCCCTTTAAGAAAGGATAATGGATTAAGCTGATGTCAAAGAATATAAGACATAGAATTATCTCATACCAAGGCAAATTCATAGTGAAACTATCGACCCAATCACCAATTGCTTGACCATTTTGAAAAACGAATAGTATGTTCAGATTCCTAAAATCGGTTGCTCCGTTTGCAAGGAGGTTTGCGATTATAGCCCCTTGGGTCTGTCCTGCAACACTGTTACGACAATTTGGAACGTTGGTGTCATTGAAGCCGGCCTGATTCCAATCGAACAAAAGTGCGGGCATTTCGTCTTCGGTATCTTTGCCTTTTAAATATTTGAGAATAAGAGTGACAATATCTGGATTTTGAAGAATTGCAGGGAGATTCTCGGGAACTAACACAAGATATCAATTAATGATTTATAACGTCAACACGCAGGAAAATAATTTAACTACTACCCACCCGTTCCGCACTTTTTTGCAAGTTTGCGAAGTTTCTTTTCTTGCACTGTATATTATCAATATATATATACTGTATGTGAAATCGGTTATAAAAAATTATTAAGAAAAAAAGAACAAATACATTTGTCGTGAACGAACTTGAAGGGGTTTAACGACATGTTTATAGAGCATGGTAAAAAAAAAAAAATAACGATATTTATTGGTATGATAAATTAAATTTTGTAATAAATTTGACCAATCTAATTGTAGGATCATGGAAAATCGTGAAATAACTTGAACGATAATTAGATTTTAACCTTTAAATAAAAATGTTCAGCGTAAAATTTTAGATATACTTTGTTTATTATTGTTTCTAATAAAGGATTTGATAAATTTGATATTTAGTCACACTACCTGGCTTTAACGTTCCTTTCTCTACACCAAAGTAATAATGTAATAACGATAATAAATTAATATACGTATCAATTAATACTTGGAATGTTTGTACTGTATATCTAAAGTTTCCACTATATTTTTTTGTCATGACGACGACTTCTTAACTATGACTCCTGAGTTGTGACTACTGGCACGCATCTCTAAGAGGTGAAGCTTCATTTTTTCCTTTCCTGAAGAGTGCATCGTAATAATAGAGAAAAAAGCGCGAGAATCGATTAATCCGATACTTGCAATACGCTGTGACGGTCACTCGGCGAGTCTGTCGCTAAATTGAGCAGAACGTCGCGTAACCGTCGATGAGGTAAGGGGTCTTAGCGAATTTTAAGGCGTGTACGATTTGGTCGAGTAAAAGATAATTCGATTGATCAGGCAATCTCAGCATCCTCTTTATTTACTTTTTACTTCCCTCTTTTTATACATCTTAGTTGGGACGGTTTTTATATTTCTAAAAGGTAACATCGATTATCTAATGTCTTCTCACGATTCTCCCTAATTACATAATGCTCAATCACAAGTATTTCATATTATCTAATCGTTTTTACACTCCTCTCTTCATTACCTAATTATCTAACACGCTATTCTACTACTACTTTAACCATTTTCATCACTTTTGCTTACTTTTCCCTCCATACCACCCTGAGTACCGTGATCGGAACGGGTCCTTCGCAGTACTATCGCGACGATTAATCACGTGATTGGAATCGCGTCACGATTTTTACCCTCTGACAACGCGCATCTCATTTGAGACGAGTGATATCGGATCGCTTTGTTTAGTTAGTATTAGAGATCCGCAATTTTAGATTACTCAACGTGTATTTTTCCAATGCGCATACATAGAAAATAGATATATAAGTGCTCTGCGATAAAGCCTGATGCGGGTAAACCAAACATTTCGAATATATGACGCAGTAGTTCACATTACTTTATTAATTTTTGCTTAAAGACAAAAAAAGTTTAAAACTTCAAGACTGTGAGCAGCATGCATAGTTTTTTTCTTGATACAAACTTTGTAAAAGACGTTCTCACATTCAAGTATTGTAAATGTCTTATAAGTAACTAAAATATTTTTGTACATATTGAGCATTTCGAGATTTCAGGGATTTCGGTTGATTCGAGAGAACTACTACAGTATCTGGTCAGATCTTAATATTTTAATTAACATCTCAATCAATAGTTCTTGTGCTGAAATATTCCGATGAGTTTTATTTTCTTTAGAGGAACACTTATCTACTCTTTCTCCAGATAATAAGCTTTATCGAGGTAAGATAGGTTATGGGTTGTGTGTTGAGTTCGGTGCTATTCATCATTAAAATATTATATTAAAATATTATATTAACTAACTTACTACTGTACAGAGATTTTTTCTGATAGGATACATTTGTGGAACAAACGAGTTACGTAGCCAAAGTGCTAAGCAACCAATCGAATAGTATGAAAGTTCGATCAGACAACTCACCGAAGCAAACTTGCAACAAATAGCTACGTAACCCTCTTATCAACACAAAAGCAACCTAGCAGAGCTATACTAGAATTACATACAAAAAATATTATACCCTTAGCGGATTGAAAATAGAGGGCCAGTGAGTAATGGTACATCTTCCCATTTGTGAGATATCTCAGCATGCTCTTGTTCCCACTTGAGTTTCTTATTTTTATTATATCGGAGGCGTCGTGATAATTTCCTTTTCGTAGCTGGTATAACATCCGACGTGACGGCTTCTTCTCTTCCCTTATTAGATGACATTTCCAAACTTTACGGTTTATTATTAAATATGAATTGGTTGTCTCTAGCTATAAGTAAGGAAATACAAAACCAACTATTCAATGAGCCGTTATAAATAATAATTCATAGAGCCAATAGTCCTACTCAAATCGATTAGCAATTTATTTTTGACATTTAAAACCAGCATACGCCGATGCGCATACACTACACTTCGTCAATCAGTTAAAAAACAAAAGATCCAATGGGTTAGTTTATTTAAGACTTAAATAAACTAGCCCATTGGGTCTTTTGTTTTTTTCATATATATTATTATGAATAGATAGGTTTATTTTTTTTTTATTCTTACTTTTTACTAGGACAACTAGGACAAATATATAATAAATATAAAAGAACAAAATAAAGATAAATTTTAAATCTTTTCCTATATCAAATATGTTCAAGTTAATATTTTTTTATTAAAACAAGTTCAAGATGGATTTTTTATTTGGATATAAACAGATTCATTTTAATTATATTTTAGGATAGTAAATATAAACAATTACATATTTGATAATATATATCTAATAACATAATTGTTAATATGTTTGCATGATATTATATATACAGTAGCGGTCATAAGTATCTGTACCCCCCAAATTTTTCAAAATCATATGACAATGCCCCCTCAAAATTTCCAGGATTTAAGAAT